GAGATGGCGCGCTTTTTAAATTAACGTTACGTTACGTAACGAGTAGCTATAATTCTAGTTTACAATAATGAAGGCCATACTGGTACAATAGGTGATAAATCTCCACTATGCGAATCAAGATAAGTGGACTATCCATCGATGGATCGTTTGGTCCATACAGGCGATGCTAACGCCACCAACTATGTCAAATTTGAATGTTAATAATGATTTATACAAAAGATACGAATACGGATAAATCTTTTGATTTTTCCATATCAGCTGTAAGAATACAGCCGCAATAATATGATTTCATATCTCGTAAAAATACGGTCTATTGAAATTGCCCTATAGAGAGAATTATGAATTCAAAATTTACCCGAGACGAGAAATTTAGTTGGTGAATAATATATTTCAGGTTACACAAATTATCGTGGAAAAATATTCATCGTATAATTATAATCCATTAGTAGTAGAGTATATGTACGAAAGATTCTAAAACTGAGAGAGAAAGAGAGAGAGAGAGAGAGAAAGAAAGAGAGAAAAAATAAAAGATAACGCGGACGTATTGCGGCTAAGTATTCGCGAAATGAAATTTCATTTAAAAATTAACCAGAATTCCGTAGAACGCAGTTCGAAAGGGTGGCGTACTCCGCTGCCTCGACGCTCGACCCTGATTAACGACATCGCGAAATTAACCCGACAATTATTTCATTAGCGCCTAGTAAGACATTTTTCATCCGATCTCAATGGCCTTTGGGATCCGGAGAGAGGGAGATACACACCCACACACACGTACATACGTATATATCAGTCGACTCGAATGCGTTACCCTTAATGATTCGATCAGAATTAACTGTAATTTAATTAATTAAAATCTCGTTGTAAAAAAAAAAAAAAAAAAAAAAAGAAACACAACGATCTATTTCACATGGGATCAGACACGATCCAGGTTACCTTGTTATTAATATCAGATGAGTTTAGCTCTAATTTTAAGTCGAATTTTCGCGTTCCATCGCTAGTTAGGTTAGAAGTTTGATCGTGGTCGACGATGAAAGACAGACTGGACCGATGGCGGTGGTGGTAGAGCGCCGTATAATATCGTAGAAAACGCGTGCGATCTTAATTATTGCATTTTCATAATTTGCCGTTTAACGAGTGACAAGTATCCCGACGACGGGTGGCTCGAGACCACAACAGTTATATTCGTAATTAAAGGCAATTTTGAAAAGCGCGCGATCCTTGGCAGGCGCAGGCGTTCGCGTTGGTTGGTGCGTGGCTCGTTCGTCGCTCTCTCGTGAGATTTCACTCGTTAGTGTAGCCGCGGATTTAATTGCCCAACGGGCGCGACGGGAGAACAAAATCCGCCCGTTAAATCGCGCGCCGAGATTCTGATTCACTTTGTCGTACCACGCGTACCACGGCCGCGCTTTTCCATTTTCCAAAAGGTCGCGCGAACGTAGATACGCGGCAAACCGTATCCTTTTCACCGCGGAAAAAACAAGTTCGCAACCGTATTAAGACGGTATTCTCGCCACGGCCATTTTCTAATAAAGTCGTCGTTCCCACGTCGTTGGCGCGGACGGCTCGTGAAAAACAGGGGTTGAAAAAGATTCCCGCGTTCCTAAGAAGGTTAGGGCTGGTTGCCTCCGGTCGACGGAGCGATAAAGAGAGCGAGGGAGGGGAGGGAGGGACAGGAAGGGAAAGTTCGCGTTTCAGGAACACGGGTTTGAGAGCGGGTGTAACGGTGGTAACGGTGGTGGCTGCCGCCTCGACACCGACGTTGCAGCCGTGGTAGTTACGTGGTGGCTGGCGGCCACCGGGGGCGGCGGAACTCCACCCTCAAACGACTTTAACGAGCCGCCGTCTTAAAATGGGGATGCCGAGCTTGTGCCGAGTTTGCGCGTTTGTTTGATAAATTAACCCAGAAAAGTATGCTCCAACGTCGGAACACTTAACAAGCCTTAGAAGTCGAGGAAAGAGAGAGAGAGAGAGAGAGAGACCATGGCGAATGTGGAGCACGGATTCGTTGATACTTCCAGCGAATTCGCTTATATCGGTTATTTCGAGAAACGGTTTCGTAATTTTATAAATATACGACGAGAGATTATAGGTACAAGGAGGACGATGGTTGAAAATCGAACGGGGATACGTTTAAGGGAAGCAAGGATCGCGATAGAGAGATGATTGTTCACTTGAAAGTATGGAAGGAACGCGTGTCACCGGCCATTATATTCCGGTATTATCCCGGTTTTCCTGCGTTCGTTCCTTCTTTCACGGAATCCCGTGCTCACCGGTGAAACTTAAACCCCAATCGCGCGCGCTGCTGGAAGGTTTCGGATTTTTCGAAAACGACAATGCGCGCCACGGCCCGCGCCACCGGTGACAAGACAGGGGCCTCCATTGAGAAAAATCCACTTCCTAGGTCTCGTGTTACCCGACTGTATTTTGACAGGATCTCATTGTCGTCGCGCGGCTAAGCCCTATTGACTCTATTATGGGCCTATTAGTATTATACTAGGATTTGTGGTTACTCCTTCAAAGAGACGTCCATCCCTCCTCCTTCGCAGGCCTTCTTTCTTACCCCCGAAACCGAACGTTTCCCTCGCCCTCCCTTCCCTAGGAAACGCGCGGCTCGAACACGCACCGCGTGCAA